GACCGCCTCCTTCATGGCCCAGTAGCTAAGTGGACAGGTGGACTCCGGTTCGTAGGGCTCCGTGAAGTAAGCCCTCACCATTGCAGCCGCCGTGTCCTCTCTCGTGTGACCTCCGCTCCCAGAGGGGCCAAGGATCCGCCCCATGAATGCCATCTCAGGATTCGTGGTGGCGGGAGCCGTGAGGGGGACTCTGCCTAGCAGCTCCTGACGATGTTCCCACCTTGGCTCTCCAGTGGCAAGTTGACCTTCAGGAAGACCAACTGCTCAACTGACCAGGGGCTCAGGCATGAGCGATGCGGGCAGACAACGTCGCCCGCATGGGAAAAGACGCACTCACTCTGAACGCTCGTCAGAGAGCACGAGAGTAGCTTCAGGGCCACGGCAGAGAGGGCCGGCCAGACCGCCTCCTTCATGGCCCAGTAGCTAAGCGGACAGGTGGACTCTGGTTCGTAGGGCTCCATGAGGTAATCCCTCACCATCGCAGCCGCGGTGTCCTCTCTCGTATGATCTCTGCTCCTAGAGGGGCCAAGGATCCACCCCATGAATGCCATCTCAGGATTCGTGGTGGTGGGAGCACCTAGCAGGGGAGGTGGATAATGAACAGCACTCGAGGTGCTGGCACCCTTCCCTCCCGCAGCTCCTGATGACGTTCCCATCTTGGCTCGCATCTTGCTAACTCGCTTGGGGAGAAGATTCCTCCATTGAGTTAACTCGTTGGCCCGCTCGGCGATCTTGCCCTTTATGCGCGAATCACACATGGTCGCCATCATGTAGATCCTGTCCTGGAGGATAGGCTCAAAGCGCCTCTGCAGTGCACTTTGCAGCCTTCTCACCAGGGCGCACACCACTGGAAGAATGTCTGCACGTCCTGCAGGTGGCTTCAGAAACGATGCCAATTCCTCATGGACTGCGAGGACCATGGGGATGACAAAAGCCAAGCCCACCGTGTCAGACGAGAGCAATTCTGTGATGGTCTTTAAGGGCTTAAGAACCTCCACAGCCTGAGAGATGGTCAACCACTCCTCGCAGTTGAGCCGGCTCTCTTCCTGAATGACCCCGCTCTCAGAGATCAGGGCAGTCAGGGCTCTCTCCTGCTCCACCAAGCGTTCAAGCATGACGCAGGAGGAGTTCCAGCGAGTGGAGACGTCGCCTAGCAGGCCGTGCTCTGGCAGGCCTGCCAGCGCCTGCTTCTCGCTCAGTAGATAGAGGTCCTTCGTACTGCGTGAGAAGTGACTCGTGATGAACCGGCATTTCTCGAGGATATGCCAGAACTCATGAGTCGCAGTGTCCAGATTGGGATCCTTTGCAGAACCCAACCCCAGAGCATCCTTAACCACGAGGTGGGTAAGGTGGGCCGCACAGGGAATGCGCTTCAGGCCCAGTTGCTCTGCTGCTGCCCTAAAGTTTGAGCCGCCATCGGTCACCAGGAAGCCCTTGGTGACCCCCCTGCCTACCCACTCGTCGAACTGACTATTGATGGTGACCTGAATGTTGTCCGCCGTGTGCGACCCATCAAGTCTCCCGATGTGAAGCAGAGCCTTGCAGTAGCCGGCCCGGCGGCCCTAACCCTGCCTGTCACTAGATTGCCCTCCCCCACCCAAAACCTCACTCGGTTGCCACCAGTGCACAGTAACTGAGATGTATGAGTTATGTGCCTTACAGGAGGTCCATATGTCGGACGTGAAGTGCACATATCTCCCACAAGCGTGGGACAAGTGTGCCTTCACATGGTCCCTGGCAGCCCTGAACAATGA